AGAATGCCATAGTCGATGACTTGTTGCAGGCGAACAAGATTATTCGTATGCAAAAGCAATATAGTCATATGGTTGTGAAGTTTTCATCCCAAATCCAGGAACTCATTTTGCTTACCTTTCATGATGCTTCTTGGGCATGTTGAAGAGATGGCACTTCTCAAAAAGGCGTGCTGACAGTCTTTGCCGACAAAAGCACTCTTGAAGGGAAGCCAGGGGTGTTCTCGCCCATCGCGTGGCAGTCGAGGAAGCTGCCCCGAGTGTGCAGGAGTTCGACCGCAGCCGAAGTCCAGACTGGAAGTCATGCTGTAGATGCTCACGAATTCGCTAAGCAGATGATCATTGAATGGCACAATGAACAACCTATTCCTGTCAAGTGCATGGACCAGGCAATGAGTACCATTCCATCTGTAGTGACTACGGACAGGAAGAACTTGTACGACTCTGTGGTCAGCATGGAGAGCAGCGGTTTGCAGCTTGAAGAGAAGCGGCTTGCGCTCGAGATCCTGTCGCTCCGTGAACGTGTCTCCGCCACAGAGATGCAGTACAAATGGGTTGATGCCGATCAGCAACTTGGAGATCCTTTATCTAAGCCTTTTGTTTATGACAACATGTTGATTGCCCTTCAGAAAGGGCGTTTGGCTCTTCAGTTTGATGAGGGTTTCATGTCTGCTAAACGGAAACGGGCTTGGCGGAAACGGGGACATGTTCAGAAATCTGCCAGTCCTGCGGAGACTTCACAATCAACGCAGCAAGAAAAGAGTTTCACCAGTGTAAATCAGTCTCCATTGCTGTGTTGATTCAATCCTGAATGCGAGTCAGTGGACGTAGCCATTTTGGCACGGCAGCCATTCGCTGGGAGCGAAGAAACAGTTGCGTCCGGCTTTTGCTCTCTTTAGCATAGCCATTGCTTACGCTGCTGTTCACGTGATTGTGGCTTGTGAGCCACCAGTGTCGAAGCCTCTGCTACCAGTGTCATATCGACAAACGGCCAGGCCACAATCCCAATTTCCTTAGTGGACCCTAATCTGAAAATCCGGATGTTAGGTAGGCGCCCTAATTTCCTTATGCCATCTTGCTTGGCAGCAGCATGTACAGATGCCCGAGTTCGTAAGTTGTGGTTTTGGCCACCCTAATTAAGATATAAGCTTGGTTAACTGGATTGATCACCCAGTAAGCCTATGTGCATGTTTGGTACACTGCAGGGCACAAGAGATGGTGTGCTCACAGGGTTGCAGCAGGCTGTGTCGTCAGCGACCCTAGGGGGTCAGCCGTGCACTGCCCGCTCTACAGCTCTCACAGGCAGGGGTATCCATTCCCTCTCGCAGTCACATTTTCTCCTTGCCTGCACAGGCAAATTTTTGCCAAACCAGCCGTTGACATGCCTTACGTACAGCAGCATCCGTGTCTGCCCTGACGGTAGGCACGAGGAGGAGTGTTGAAAACGCCCCATGCATGTCAAGTAGCAGTTGCAGTTTTTTTGTTGAGTCTTCGAAGCAATGATGCTTGTTTGCTGATTGTTTTGGGTCAAGGGGAGGGCTAAGAAGAAGACCCCTTGAGCAATGTGTATGTAGTATACTGAAGTTCTAGAGTTGTGCAGTGTAACGTCCTGTAGTCTTCCTTGTCTGGGTTTTGTGTGTTTGTGTTCTTTTCTTGTGTTGTTACTTCGAAGAGGCTCGCCCGACCAAGTGAAAAGCGCGGTCCGCCATGGAAGGTAACACTGCCCGTAGTCACCTTCAAGAGTTAGGGTTTAGGGGTTTAGGGTTTAGGGTCAAGGACCAGTGGCTCGTGTCTAATGTGCGGAAAGCCAGAAGCTTTGCGCAGCGAACATTTTGGCTTGGAATTGTTCACCGCTTCTTGACTTTCCAGCAGCCCCTGTAAGCATGGGAAAAGTCTTTCCTCTGAGGGAGGAGCCACGTCCAATGTGATCTCCTGAATCCTAAACCCTAAATCCTAAATTCCTAAAGATTTTCCGACTTTGAGATGCTCGCGCTCTTCACGGCAGAATCCTTCCTGTCTCTCCCCCAAACCCTAGCTCCCAATCCCTGTGCTACCGTGCGAAGTCAGCTATGGAATGCATGCCCCCAGATTTTCAGAAATCCTTTGTTAATTGTACCAGTGGTGCTTGCTCCTTTCAAAGTCTCTGACTCTGCTGGGTGTCGTTGCCCATCGGGACGAGTCCTCAAACATCCAAACCGTCCTCCACGCGCTTCGAGTTCTTGCTGTCCTTCTCTGGCTTGTTGGCGGTCTGTTTGGCTCGCTTCTGTTTCTTCATCTTCATGCAGGTTTTAGAATCCTGGAGTTTGCAGAAGGCTCTTGATCTCTGCCACCGTTTCTTCTTGCCACCCGTGCTGAAGGAACTCTCAAAAGAAAACTTGGCCCATACTGCGCAGTCTATGAGAAACTCATCATTTGATAAGAGTGTGGGAGGTGATAGGGGTAGTGTATTGCATATTCCTCTTTAAGCACGAAGTAGTAGTGAAAGCTCCTTACGCCCTGGTAGTGTCAGTCGCAGGAGGCGTGGTGCACGGAACCAGGATCCTACATAATGTGGCGCTCGTTCGGTAAGCGACGCCGTTTAGGATTTAGGGTTTAGGGTCCGAAACTTGAAGATGGGCGTGTTTAAGAAGAATCCCTAGGTTCTTAGGGCGCGGGGGATGGATTCAAAGGGGAACTGAGACCCGAAAATCGAAACCATCAGGGAGGCTCTGCTAGGTAACAATGGCTGAAATTCTTTAAGCGTCCGCCGAAACACATCAAAGACAAAGAGGGTCTCTAGGCTGAAACGGGTGTAACATGAGTCATTGCATGGCACCCTGAACCCTTGCCTAAACTCTTCCGATCAACATCCAGACTTCGGAGGCAGCAACGTGGACACCCATGAGGTATCCAATAAAGCTCCGAAGCAGGCCGGACCCTTTGGGAAGACTTCGGGGAATTTAGGGTTTAGGCTGGGGTTTTGGGGGCTGGTGGGATGTGGAGAAGTGGGTGAAAAGTTCTAAATGCGTCAGGTGACCATCCTACTAGTACTCATAGGGTGGTGTACGTGAATGTTTTTGTTCCGCAGTGGCTGCCTTACACCACAAACCCTAACCCTCTCAATCAATTCGGAGCACAAGGGAGTCGAGTGATGGTTGGCATTGGTCAATGAGTCCCTAAATCAAGAAATCCTGGTAAAGCTTGTGACTGTGTATATATATATATATATATGCACATACGAATATCTGTGACTACATGGGGTTTACGTAGGGGTTAAGCGTATAGAGTTTAGGGTTCAGGGTTTGCAACTTACAGATGGTTCGCTGCAGGTGGATAGGCTGTTGGTCGCACACTTTGGACGAGGGCGTAGCTCGTGAGAGTGTGGTTCCTGTTTATAGGGCCTCTGACAGGCAAGATTGGTGACATGAATGGTTACTCATTTTTGGACTCCATTGCAGCAATGGCATGTGGTTGTGAACAGGCCCGCCAACAGTGCTTCAAATCCTGGATCTTTTTGAAGCCCCCCTCCGCAGCAAGAACAGTGCGAACAGAGATTCATTCCATATCGTATATAGGTCGAATCTGTTTTTGGTGCGAATCAATTTTTCCGATGCTTCGGCCCCAATTCTAGGTGTTTAGGCCGTGTTTAGGCCCCTACAGTAGACAAAGAACAGCTCAGTCTTGAGGTGATAGTTGTAGGCACAGGACTTCTGCGACTTAAAGGTGTTTCAGGGTGATGGAATAGTGGACCCGCTGGATTTTATCGGGATTATGATGGGGATACACTCCTCAATGCACTCCAGAACCCACTGCTTGCTGAAAGACCCTCAAGCAGTTTGTCTTTGGACTTTAAGGCAAGGGAGCCTGTCAACTTTTGGTGACTCCAGTACGACAAACTTGAACATCAAATGGAAAAATGAAAGTTTGCAGAAGCTTGCTGCACAATGTACCGGCCCCAAAATTGTAGCCTGGTGGTGCAAAGACACTTTTCCAGTTTCCTTGCGTCCCCAAGCAGTTGCAACTGCTTGCTATGAGGGTTCCGTTGCCCTGATTAATCGATTCTTACCTAAACCCTAAAGCCCTAAACCCCTAAACTCGAAACCGAAACCTACATACTTTCAGGAGGACTCCTTAGATCTGAATACTAGGGGGCATTCTCTATGGGGTCAGGACTGAGGAGTTAGGTAATATACTATACCACGTAATACGCCCATCATAACCCAATAGTAGCTCTTTATACGCAGGCTCGCCCATTAATCCTTTCCCCGTAATATAAAAGGGCCCCCCCTGAAGTATATACCCCAATCAATATTTTACATTAGGGAGCGGGCATGCATGGTAGGACCCGAAGATTAGGGGGGGGACATAATAACATCATAGTGAAATCCAAATATAACTCGGTTAAATCTAATTCAGCATCGTAATACAAGCAATTAGAATCTCAAGAAAATCATTTGCAATCTGATTAAGTAAAACCTGAATACAGCCAAGTTAAATCATGGTAAAATCGTATTCAAATCAAGCAACATTTGTTTCACTATTGAACTCATTAAGACACATGTAAATCTAATTACGATCTAACTGCAACCTGCTTTAAAAAGATTAAAGCACGTAGCAAAACCCCGGAAACCAAATTTAGATGTTATATACATTCCTTTAGAAAGGCCATTCAAACACAATCAAAATCTGGGAAATCAGCGAGATCCCTGATCCTGACGAGTCATGCGAGGGACCCCCCTAATTCAGAGCATCCAGGCCTTAATTTATTTGCCTTAGTCTTGGCTTTCTTAAAAGCGACCTTGGGGGCAGATTTCAGATTTTGGAGTTCTGGCAAGCCCGTCTTTTTTTTGGGAGGTTGGATACTCGCGGGAGCAGATTAGTAACCCATAGATAGCCAGCCTTCTTTTTCAGACCGCTTGACAATTACACTGATAGAGTGCCGGGCTCTTTCAAGTAGGGCAGGGCGACGGAGGTTTACATGAACTTAATCGAAGACTGTAGGTATGGCCGTAGAACCACTGGAGGCGTCTGTGGCTGTGATGGGCCATGCTATGGCTTCTGCCGTCGACTTCTTGTCGAAGGAGAATCCCGAACTGTTGGAGGCAGGGCCAAAACCTAAACCCGAAACACTCCATGCAAGTGGTGTTTTCAGGAAAAGGGGGATATTGTAGTCTTCCAATATAGAGTGAGAACATTTCCCCGCTTTTGGGTATAGCACTTTACGAGAAGAGAGTTCAGTCTTACCCGGTTTCATCATAAAAAATTACTCACCTGGATAGCTTCAACAGCATCGTGCTGGTGCCCTAGGGCATTCGCTGTCAGGTTCCGTGTATAGGAAAGCCTGACCACTTTGAGAATGATTTGTGTGGTTGATATTGGCTGGTAGGGCCCATCACTCAGCTTGAACGGAAGGAAAGGCGCACTTGGTCCAGCATTACTTCCCTCAGCCTCGTAGAACTCCAGAATAAAGCTTCAACCCTCCCTTATATACCCCCATATATACCCCCCCCATATACATATACACGCGTATATATTCCCCCATATACCCTTATGTACCCCTATATACCCCGGTGTACTGAGTCTTAGGGATGCTGATCTCAAGTTGCGCAACCACAGGAAACCTCCTCCTGGACGACGCTGAGCAGCATGTGGGGGTAATTCTCAAGGTCCCTGTAAAGAAGGGACCATTAGGAACACATTTCCTTAAAGAAGGGACGCTAACCAAACAGGGAATCTAACCATGGCCATTTTTGGGACAGGTATTTTGAACAACTATTTTGCATCACCAGATATACTGCCGTACGGCCTGCGTTGCGGCAATTTATAAGCGGGTTTTTGGTCGCGTTATCAGGATTCGCGAGACTGGGTGGTTTACCAGACTTCTAGAAAGGTGAGCCAAGTACATGTGACATTATACCCCAGCAGTAGAGAATCGTATGGAAAAGGAAATGGACAATGAAATGGAAAACGTAGTCTATATTGTTTTTTATGAGATCATTTCTGTTTCGTGTCTTTTTTTTGTCAGACCCGAGCCCGCGCCAGGAGGTTCTGCTGCTGAAGACCTTCCATGGGTCCCTTTACATCACATCCCTATATAAGCCTAAGCCAAAGCAAGAATTCAAACGGCGTGCTAGATTTTCCTTCCTTTGTTTGTTTGCCTGCATAATTCAATGTTTGGTACCGACTAGTGCGGGGAGCCTTAATTGTGCGAAGTTTTGCCGAAATTATTCAGCCCCCCCTGTTTCGTTTGGGGGACCTTAATTATGCGAAGTTGCCAAATACCTTTCACTTTTAAGGGCTTAGCATCTAAAAGCCAAGCTTCCCCGATCCTGATCCCTCCTGACTCCTGTTGAATTTAATTCAAACCTAGGATCCGAGCCGATCCTGATCACTCCTATTGAACTTATTTGAATTTACTTTACACCGAGGATCCGAGATGATCCTGATCCATTCTATTGGATTTTAATTAAAGACCTAAAAACCATGGGTTGTTTATAAACCCTCCCCCCCCCCCTCCCCACACTAAATGGGCTCCCATTTTTGTTTGGGGGGCCCCCCTGCACTAATCAGGACCTCACATTAATATGATTTGTTCATTATTTTGATGAGCGCATCGCACCAAATAGAAGGAAGGGAAAGGAGACACTTAGAAATAGAGAAGCAAGGATGTGTGGCAAGTCTGCTGTTCCCGCGGGTACCAACGCTGCTCCGGGACGAGACCTGCATGAACGCCACGTGAAGCAGCCCAGCCGATCTAATGCGCAGGGCTTGGGCATTGGGCTGAGGGCTAAAGGTTTGTAGGGCCTATCATAGGGTTGGAGGTTTTCTCTTATGGTTTGGGCGAGTGCATATTGTGTGTCCAAGTGGAAGGCCAGACATCTACATCTCACTTGCTCTGTGTGTGTGTGTGTGAGTTCAGAGTGACGGTCCTGGCAAATTTTGTGTAGGACCAGAAGGGTAGGCTTTCTGGCTGCTGTTGTAGTCGTGGTCATTTTCGTGGTCTTGTAGCGTGACGCTGGGAGCGGTGGGTGGGGGGGGTGTGGCGGGGGCAGTGGAGGGGGTGGGAGTGGAGGCGGCGGTGGTGGCGGTGGTTGTAGTCGTCAAGGCGTAGTGGTGGTGTGTTTTGTGTTGCTTGCAGTTCCCGCGGATGCCGCTCGTTCAGCTGCTGGTGCCGGTGGTGATCCTGGTGCTGGTGCTGGTGCTGGTGCTGGTGCTGCTGCTGCTGCTGCTGCTGTTGTGGGTGTGGTCGTCGTCGTCGTCGTCGCCGCCGCCGGGGTGGTGGTGGTGGTGGTTGTTGTGGTTGTGGTTGTGGTTGTGGTTGTGGTTGTGGTTGTTGTTGTTGTTGTTGCTGTTGTTATTGCTGTTGCTGTTGCTGTTGCTGTTGCTGTTGCTGTTG